AAAAATTAAAATTTTCATATTGTAATTTTAATATATTAAAAGTATAATAATGTACTCCTTCTCTTACTTTCTGTTCCTCATTACATTAATGTTAATAAAATAATTTGTAATGAAAGAAGTATCAAAAATTAATAAAATGGTCACATTACATCATTTTTAATAATTTAAATATAATGTGAGATATTTAATTTTTAAAGGTATAAAATAAAAAAATCTTATATTTTTTCAAGATGCCAGGTAAAATTCCCCATATTTAAAATGATTAATTCACGACGTCAAAAAATTATTCCTCTGAACTTTCCCTTTGGATTATTTTCCAACACCTCTCACCGATCCCCTCTGATCTGGTGCCCCTGCACATAAAGAGTGAGCGACATAGAAATAATCACGATAAGAAAGACTTTTCGTCCTCTCCTCTAACTACGTTATCATCTCGGGAACTATGGGAAACATATTTCCAAACAAAAGAATCGAAACAAAACCTCCCCGTAGAAACCAAACAATTTAAAACAAAAACTTTCCATCCTCTCTTCGGTCCCCTCTCTCTCTCTCCCCCTGCAAACTTGTCTCTTTCATTCTTTTTCCCTCTCCAAACTCTCTCTCTCTCTCTCTGCGTATGGTAGGCGCACCGCGTTCATGTCTTTTCTCAGAGATTCCGGACGCGTACGACCAATCCAGTACTGCTTTGAAAATTCGATAAAAAAAAAACGTACTGCCCTGCTTTCTCAACAGGTCCTCCCACTCCTCATTGCTCACTAATTTGCTGGAATCGACAAATTAAATATTAATAATCGAAGAAGAAATGAGGGGATTTGCGAGGCATGAACGTCGATGGGCGTCGGACACCGTCCCCGACGGCGAGACCAATGTAAGCGGCGGTTCCTCGCCGGGAACTGATTCCGGCATCTCTGCCGCAACGGCGGAGGAGTTCGTCGAGGTCACTCTCGATCTGCAAGACGATGACACTATCATTCTACGTAGTGTTGAACCTGCAACTTTAATCAACGTCGACCAAGAGGTATCTGTAGGAGGTACTGAAACTCCGGCGTCAGCATCTCGCTCTCCAACGATTCGGCGGAGCTCATCGAATCGGCTTCTACAGTTTTCTCAAGAATTAAAAGCCGAAGCAGTGGCAAAAGCGAAGCAATTTTCACAAGAGCTTAAAGCGGAGCTACGGAGATTTCCGTGGAGTCATGGACATGCATCACGTGCGCTTTCTTCGTCTTCGGCGTTGCAAAACGTCGTCGTCGTTGGAGGAAGTAGTGGTTTGGACTCTGCTCTGGCTGCTCGAGCAATGCGTCGGCAACGAGCTCAGCTGGATCGAACTCGTTCCGGTGCTCGGAAAGCTCTTCAAGGACTCAAATTCATCAGCAATAGTAAAACTAGCAGTGTCGATGCGTGGAACGAAGTTCAGGACAATTTCAACAAACTTTCTAAGAACAATTGTCTCTATCGCGCCGATTTCGCACAATGCATAGGTTTCAACCATAATTAAACTCTGTTTCTCGTTCTCAATTTCGTGATTATCATTTCTCAATTACGTTTTAATTAGAATGTGTTTAATATTATTGATTTCTGTTAAGGAATGAGAGATTCCAAGGAATTTGCGTTGGAATTGTTTGACGCTCTGAGTAGAAGACGAAGATTGCAGGTCGACAAGATCAGCAGAGATGAGCTGTATGAATACTGGTCCCAGATCACCGATCAGAGCTTTGATTCTCGACTCCAGATCTTCTTCGATATGTAAGCATTATTAATTCATTGTTTATTAACGACAGTAGGTTTATTTTTTTTAAATTACCATTGCTTTTCTTCTTAGACCAGGCTTTTATAAAGGAAGAACTACACCTTATTTTATAGATATAGATAGCTTTTAATCAAGGTCATAATTGTATTTTGGACGCTAATGATTGCATTAATTATTTTAATGCATCTTCATCTTCAATCGTGCAGGGTGGATAAGAATGAAGACGGCCGAATCACAGAAGAGGAGGTTAAAGAGGTACGTAAATGCGTCCTCAAATTATGTAAATCACAAAATTAATCACAGTTTAGTGAGAGAAGAGAACAGTCTGTCAGATTCCGATGATTAATATTCCGGTGCAATATTTAATATGTTATGTCCCGCTGACCTTTTTCCGGTGACATTAGAAATATATATGCACATTCAATACTATAGTAAGATACTGCATAGTGGTTGTTGCCAGACCTCACCTACAGACTCTGTTTTGGTTAAATAATCAAAGTTAGGCGTGGTTCGGTGATCCTAAATCAGAAAAATTCCAAATCCAACCACTCCACATTATATATATTTCGTTTCATAATCTTTTAGTTTTCTTGATGTCTTATGTTTCCCATATTCTTACGCATCTTATAATATTCCAATTATGAAATCCCAGAATAAGACATGTTTCATCTTTAAATTCTTAATATTGCATTTAATTTTTGGTAACTCGGAGGTTTTAAGTTCAATTATTTCTCACACTATTTAAATGTTAGTCATTCTTGTTTCTTTGAAGATATCTTCTACACTAGTTCAAGTCACGGTGATTAATCGCTAAACTTGAGATAATAGTCGGTATAAATCTAGACAACCTGTAACAAACTAATAACAATAACAATTGCTGCTCATCACAAGTCCAATCTTTCGTTTAACATCAAAGGCTAAAGATCGAAAAGTCTGATCCCAAGAGATAAGGCTCAGTGTGAAATATTAAGATTTTGATGTGATAATTAACACCAGATTCCTAATTTATAAAGAGTCATTTTCAGTGGAGTTGGTGGGGGCTTTTAAGTCAATTTGCTGATATAATGTGTTTCTGATTTCTGTTACCTGTGCTAAAAAAATGATTTTAACTTTTTTTTTTTTCTTTGGACTGAATTAATAGATTATAATGTTAAGTGCTTCTGCAAATAAGTTATCAAGATTAAAGGAACAAGCGGAGGAATATGCAGCTTTGATCATGGAAGAGTTGGATCCCGAAAGGCTTGGCTACATTGAGGTTGGTTCTCTTACTAATTAATAGCACTCTCTACTTCTGCAAAAAAAGAAAAAAGAAAAAATTGCTATCATTTTCTTATTGCTTACATGACATTTTCAAGAGACTTATAAGACTTCAAATCAACTCCTCATAATATGACTTCCTGCTCAAAACATCACATCGCATTCAAATTAGTTCTTGACTAACCACAAATTGACTAGCTAGTAATTAAAAAATAGAGAAACGCTATTAGAATTTAAAAATTAGGTTTAATTTGTCGATTTAATGATATAATTTTATTGTAATTGTTAAATTAACATCAAGTTTTAATATTTAATGAGATTCACTGTCAATCTAATGTTTATAACGAATTAGATTAACAAATTAGATCAATACATTAGGTTCAAATAGTATTACTTTAAAAAAAATTACAACTAAAGTAGAGTTGAGTAAGATGACAAAACACTGACTACATATTCCAGAAATTGGATTTACCATATCTTCTTGTTCAACTGTTCACGAAGAAGAAAGCTCAAGCTGTAATCCATAAAGAATTGATTCAAATCAGGGTGAACGTTAATGATTTTGCCTCACTACCTGGTTATTGGTGGTTCAAAGGCCTGATTACTGGCGGTTCAACAGCCTTTTATTTTATCAATAGTGAACAGCTTTCCATTACTTGCTTCCTATTTGTTCTGCTTGCTCGTCTACTTCCTTTTACATGTGATGTTACTTTCTTGTTGGGAGAGGAAATTTTTCAAGGAAAAAAATACCAACAATGGATGAAGACTTTAGTGGCTTGAACTAAATAAATTGCTATATAATTTACAAATGATATAGGGATCGGGGGCGGTGCTTTCTTGGTGATGTTTCCTTCACCGAATTATACCTTATTCTGGGATGTTGACCTTGCCCAAAAACCCAGGCAAATTCGCTTACACAAAAGCCCATGAGCTGGCGGTCTTGAGAATTTGGAATGACTTTACAATGCTCTCACATCCCACTAAAAAAATTATAGCAATGTTACGGACACTATTTTCTTATACCATTTTTGTATACCACCTCACCTCAACATAAATCTTTAAATTAAAAGATCCACAGAGTTTATTAAATATTCAATTACTGTAATTGTGGCGCATAGTGGTGTAAGAGAAATAGTGCACAAATGTGATGTCCCAGCTTTATTTAGAAAGCTGTTCATAAAAATTATGATGTCATTTGGCCATGTTCATCTGATTGATATGTTAGTATGTGCGGCCAAATTGTTAAGTTTATCTAAGCATGCATATTTGGATTGTATAGTTAAAAATAATGTCGTAGCCATAATATATTATTTTTAAGTAATATTATTTAAATTTAATATACTGATCTATCATCTTATTTATGTCACATTAACATATTATTTTTATCGTTCCAAACAATATTTATAGAAAACATCAAACTCTGAATATATTACTTATATTCCTTGAAAAAATTAAAGAAATAGTTTATTTTTAACCCCCGTTTTAGCTGGGCAGGTTGATTAACACCAATAAATGTTCATACAGTGTAACTTTTCCAAGAAAGAAAAAGAGGAAAGATTTCTACTTTACGCCTTCAACCTCTACAATATATATATGAAATTTGTTAGGATATTCTTGTTAAAAAAAAACTGAGTGTTTCCTGACCTAGAGTGCACCTTTTATCATCATGCCATCGTCTGAACTTATGATCCGGCCACGTTGCGGTCCTGACAGGCATTGTTGGTTCCCATGCGTAGACCTTTAAAGCGCGTTTTCACCACTCAAACACGTGTTCATCAGGTCCAGAGTCCAGACAATATTGGAATGACTAGGAATAATTAAACTGTCTCTGTTGATTGATTTGCATGATCCAACTTTCTCATCATATTTCTTGCATGATAATGCAGTTATGGCAGCTGGAAACACTACTGCTACAGAAGGACACGTATGTTAACTACAGTCAAGCTCTAAGCTACACAAGCCAGGCTCTAAGCCAAAACCTAGCTGGCTTAAGAAAGAGAAGCCCAATACGAAGAATGAGCACAAAATTGCTTTACTATTTGGAAGAAAACTGGAAGAGACTTTGGGTTGTAAGCTTATGGATTTTGATAATGGCTGGGCTGTTTACTTGGAAATTTTATCAGTACAAACAGAAAAATGCTTTCCAGGTCATGGGTTACTGTCTCCCCACGGCTAAAGGTGCAGCTGAAACTCTGAAATTCAACATGGCTCTCATATTATTGCCAGTGTGCAGGAACACCATTACTTGGCTGAGGTCCACCAAGTTTGGTTGTTTTGTACCCTTTGACGACAATATCAACTTTCACAAGGTACACCAACCCTATCATTTTAACTATTGAGACTAAAACATTTTTTATATGAAATAATGGCGTATTATTATCCAAGTTGATATAATTTAATAATATTATTATTATTTGAGTTTTTTTAATAAGATCGAATTATTTATCATATCATTAATTTAGGATAATAGGTTAAATTTTTAAATCATAATAATCATTATTCTTTTTTTTTTTTTGTTTTGGGTTCGTAGTGGACCCTTTATTCCTTTCTTTAAGATTTGTTTTATAGTTATTGTATTGGCCCATTTAAGTGAACTTTTATGATGGAGTCAACATAATAAGTTGAGCAGAATATTTCCACTAGTTTGTCCACACGCATTGGTGATGACGACCAAACGTAGGGCCAACAATACTTCTGAACACTGCAAAGGTTGACTTTTTGGTTTTAATAATTTGTGTGGTGATTAATTTTGGGGTACTTCGAAGGAAAAAAAATATATTTTGGTGGGTACTCGGAAGGAAAGGAAAAATAGTTTTGGGTGATTATATGATGAGAAACATCATTAATGCAGTAATTAATGTTTAATTAAAACTTGATTGATTGATTTCACTATATCACTTCTATATTAACTTGGTACATGCAATCTGTGTGGGTTTCCCACGTATGCATGTGTTGGAGACGTGTACATAAAATTGTGGACAAAAGTAAAGGAGCGTGATCATAAAGTGGCCACTAATTGAATTATTGTTCTTTCCGTGTCCTAGAGAACGACAAGCCCAGCTTTGAATTATTTCAACGTTTTTGTCTGTGTGATAGAGTAAGAACATAAGCCAAGATGCAGGTGCTTTGTTAACTAAGAATAAAAAGCAGAAGATTAATCAAAAAGTTGAACACAACAGAAATGAAAGAAAAAAAAATACACATTTTCATCTTTTGTGTGCTATACACTAATGTTTGTAGGTAATTCATGCATTCTCTGTATCCCAATCAAAGATGCTCTCATGTCCTCAGATTGGTGTCTTTGCCTTTAATTTTGATGTTGACTTTAGAGGTCTTGTTTTGATACTTAAAAGTCCTCCCATCTAATTTGCATTAATAGTTGCCTTCATTTTCCAGATTGACATGAGCCCCATGAATGACCCAACCCTTTCCTTTCACATCTTTCTCCAATTGGCTCTCCCTCCGAGTTTCCCAGTTAAAAAGGTCAATAGCATCTTTCCTATTCTCCTTCGTGTGTCCTAACCATTTGAAATTAAAAAGTTTTACTCAACTAAAAAAAAAATTCAGTATTTCAAGCCTTTGTCTTTTGGGTATAAATTAAATGGCTACTCTGTCAAAACTCTCATATCGAGCAAGGTAACAATTTTACAAAGATCTTTAACTGTTTTAAATTGGTGAATTTATTTTGCAAAGTTTGTTAGACCATCTAAATTGTTTCAACACAGCGAGGTGACGTGATGTAATTGTAATTTCACTAACAGTGATTAGAATATCAGCTGTTAAGAGTGTGTTGTCTAAAGTTCAGCACACTTCTCAATAGGAACAATGTTACCAGATACACAGAATCAGGCTTACCAATTGTTTATCTGCAACTTATATCTGTATAGTAATTCTAATCAAAAGCTATTGTAATCTCTTCATAATGAAAATACATCACTATGGCACTAATAACTTCAAGAATATGAGTTTGAAAGAAATTATAAATCGTTCCAGATTCTTATTTGTTTATGATTTGGCAATTTTGAACTCGTTCATGCCATTGAAAACTCTTCAATATTTTAAAAAGTTAGTGGTATTGCTTAGTTATGCTTCAAATCTTCTCATTTCCATCTTCTTTTCTTGTGTTGCTGATCTGTTGTGTAGACAATTGCTGCTGCCATTGTTATAGGCATCATACTCCACGCTGGGAATCACCTTGCCTGCGATTTCCCAAGGCTTATAAATGCATCTGCATCAGACTATGATCAGGACCTGAAAAATGATTTTGGTCACCATAAACCCACGTACTTAGACCTTGTTCGAGGAATTGAGGGCGTGACTGGAATTCTAATGGTGATCTTCATGGCTGTTGCTTTCACACTCGCAACGCGTTGGTTCAGGCGGAGCCTTATTAAACTTCCCAAGCCTTTTGATAGACTCACTGGCTTCAATGCTTTTTGGTATTCACACCACCTTTTTGTCATTGTCTATGCTTTGCTCATCATCCATAGCCTCTTCCTCTATTTTGTGCACAGATGGTACCTTAAGACGGTATACTTTGCTGAATCCTTTTTCCTTATTATTTTATTCCCAGGACTTGAGGGGTGTTATTCTTTTATGTTGCTTAAAGTGTTGATTAAGTTATACTATGCTTGCAGACATGGATGTTTCTTGCTGTTCCAGTGCTCCTATATGCAGGGGAAAGGACCCTTAGGTTCTTCAGGTCTGGCTTGTACACTGTTCGGCTTCTGAAGGTGAGACCTTCCCTTCCAAATATTGCAATACTTATGTGGCATTGCCTTGTGTACATCGGGAATATTGATTTAGTAACAAATGGGACCAGTGTTTCGTGCATGAATTAATTTAGGTCTCTAAGTCAATTAATTATCCTGCGAGTGTAGTTGACCATTTTTCGTTCTTTAAAATTTTCAGGTTGCTATTTATCCAGGAAATGTTCTAACGCTACAAATGTCCAAGCCTTCCCAGTTTCGGTACAAGAGTGGACAGTACATGTTCGTCCAGTGCCCATCTGTTTCTCCATTTGAGTGGTAAATCACTGTCATCATCCCTCAAATCACACATCATTTATGTTTGCAGATATATCTGTGGCTTTGGCTAGACATTCATTAATGTTTTTAGTCTCCCTAGAGTTTCCAATGAATTGCTGGTCATCGCAGTTTTGTATAAGCTCAAGGTCTCAATACATACCATGTTGTTTTACCTGATAACTGTTATTTGAAGTACCCAAATCACTTTGGTGCTGAGACAGGGCAAAATTTATTGGGGACATCCCCAGCCAGGCAACTCTACATCTTTCGATACGTCCTCATAAAACGTTAAATAAATTTCACTCTTTGTAGCCCGAATTTTCCTGTAGTTACAACTTTTTCATCTATAATTCTCTAATTTATCAACCTTAACTGTGCATATTTAGGGAGGAAGGTCACCTTATTAAGTAATAACAGACTACTTCTTGGTGCTTAATGCTGATTTGTTATGTTATATAATGCTAGGCATCCATTTTCCATTACCTCAGCTCCTGAAGATGACTACCTTAGCATTCACATCCGGCAGCTAGGTGACTGGACACAGGAACTTAAGAGGGTATTCTCAGAGGCATGTGAGACTCCTGTTGCTGGGAAGAGTGGGCTGCTCAGGGCTGATGAAACAACCAAGAAAAGGTCCAGTCTAGTTTTAGTTTGTGTGCTTTTCTCTGTCTATTTTTCTTGTGTGCTTCATTTAGTGGTTATTGCTGTTGCCATTTAAAATTATAATTGGATTGCAGTTTGCCAAAGCTCTTAATAGATGGACCTTATGGTGCTCCAGCACAAGATTATCGGAAATATGATGTACTGCTACTTGTTGGTCTTGGAATAGGAGCAACACCTTTTATCAGTATTCTGAAAGATTTGCTCAACAACATTGTCAAAATGGAGGAACAGGCAGTAAGTAATAAGTCTGACTCCCAATATCCTATCATTCTATATGAGATTGGAATACCTACTCCATTATTTGTTATTTAAGAAAAAATTAAAATTCTGTTTTTTTTTACAGGATGCAATTTCAGATATGAGCAGGCACTCAGATCATAGTGTTGGGACTACTGATTCTCCCTCTCTGAGTAAGGCATCTCCAAAACGGAGAAAAACTCTGAAGACCACCAATGCTTACTTCTACTGGGTGACGAGGGAGCAAGGCTCCTTTGATTGGTTCAAAGGGGTCATGAACGAAGTTGCCGAACTTGATCAAAGGGTAACATATGACATTAGATCCTTTCTTTTTTTATTTCACTGTTTGTTCTTTTATTGATTGTTACATTTATCATTTTGCGTTTCAGGGTGTAATAGAAATGCACAACTACTTGACCAGTGTTTATGAGGAAGGGGATGCCCGATCCGCTCTTATCACCATGGTCCAAGCACTCAATCATGCTAAGAACGGGGTTGATATTGTATCTGGCACAAGGGTACGTTTGAAGTTTTGCCTCATTTTTATTCTTTTAGGACCCATACACATTTAGAGGGAGAAATCCTAAGATTTTAGTGGTTTGTCTTTAGAATTTTAGCCACTTTATCATTTTGAGTTATGGGTATGATGTGTGCAAATGCTTTATAACAGTTCGTAAAGGGACTGCATTATGAGCTATTATGGGTAGGTTTATCTATATTCGTGGTTATTATGTCAACAGGTGCGAACCCATTTTGCAAGGCCAAACTGGAAGAAGGTTTTCTCGAAAACGTGTACGAAGCATGCTAATGCAAGAATAGGTGAGTGATCTAGTCTCCACGAACCTTACATAATGAAAAGAATTTCCTTTTTTCTTATGCCATCATTGTGTCGTTGGTGTTCTGGAGCAGGAGTTTTCTATTGTGGGGCACCAGTCTTGGCTAAAGAACTCGGCAAGCTTTGCTATGAGTTTAATCAAAAAGGTTCTACCAAATTTGAATTCCATAAGGAGCATTTTTAGAGGATTGTGGGGGGTTCATCTCTAACACCACCATTATTCACAATATCAAAACCACTTGGAGAAGAAATAGGAAATCATGGAAAAGAAAATAAAAAAGGCAGAGGTAGAAGCATTGTACAGTTTTGACTAGGAAAGGGAAAAGTGTATAGAAAAGTAAGCATATATATATATATATATATATATTTCTTCCAAGCACTCAATTGGTAATATGTACCAAGCACAACCAAAAACTGGTTCTGGTTGGTGAGAGGGCTTATTATAGATGTTAATATTTCATATGGACCCACCTGTAAGGCCATTATGGGGGATGAGAGTGGGATACAGCTAATAGAAGTTGGTCAAATTGATGAAGACCTGACCATTAATGGTTGGTAAGACATCCATGCATCAGCTAGGAAAAAGGCATTTTCAAAAGGAAGAAGATGAAGCAGGTCTTTTTTGGACTGCGGAAAAGAGAGGAGGACAGGACAGCTTGTTTGTTGAACTCCTCCAGTATTCTTCGAGTGGGCTCCGGGAATCCTTCTAGAATGACCAGGCTGACGAAGATGTCCATGTGGATGTTTTTTATTTGGTTTTTTTTTTTTCCTTCTTACACAATAGAAATAGTATTTTATGTAATTGGGAAATTCATACGTTGTACCTCTTCTTTCATCATTATGTCTAATTATATATAACAGGTAAGAGAGGTTACAGTTTATTTTATATGGGGATGGTTTGGGCATTCCTCCTTGAGAGAATTGGAATGGGCACACCATGTTTTATGTTGGATTTGGAGTGGCTGCTTTTCATTTTTGCTAGCATTACAGGAGTTCAGTGATATAGTGTTTTGTTCTGATTAGACACTCAAAATACATAATCTCACCGATGTCAAAGGTAGAATTAACCAATAATAAACAAATAAATAGGACAAGTAAATCCTACTCGATAGTTTTGAATAACGTGGAAGTTATAATTCGGTGGGTTTTATTAGTCCTACATACTATTCATAATTGATCGGTGTGACAGTAATGGCGTGATGTAATCATTACCTTGAATATTTTCTTCAAACAGCTTCATGCGGGAGAACGCCACATTAGAATAAAACAATAATATATGCTTGTTGATAAGGATAGGAAATGTCAAGTAATGGCCAAAAACTCCTTAATCTCTCATGTAAACAGGCTTTATCCTAATAATTAAACATTTCTTCGACTCCTTAATCCACTCTCGAAAACACATGATTAAGCAGTCTTGATTCTTCTTCTTCCATTCCCACATGGTTTAGCCTGTCTTGAATCATAGAGATGTACGTTAAGTATGGATGTTCATTTACACGATCCACTTATATATAATAATGCGAACGCAAGTCTTAGTCGTGAAGGTTGGCCCGGGGGGGAGGGGGGAAGGGATTAAGTTTTGGTTTGTGGTTAGGGGGCCCAGGCCCATAAACACTCCCAATACTAAGTCCTAACACTTCTTTGCCTGGCAAGGCCCATGCTCACTCCAAATCCTAACAGTCCTACCCGAAGGCTATATACTGGTTTAGCAGTCAGCCCATGACCCAACAAATCTTTTTTGTGTATAGCAGGAATTTTTTTCTTACTCTAATTAATATTTATTAATGCTTTGTTTAGTATGATATCTATATCTATATCTATACTACATATAAAAGTGTGTAAAGATAAAAAACTTTGGGCCTATTTGGTTTGCGTTTCAAAAAATAGTATCCGAAAACAGTTTTTGAAAAGAGTTTTAAGAAAATAATTTTGATATTTTTTGAGATAAAAAATTTGTTTGGTTAGATGATATCAAACACAATTTTACAGTACAGAAAATAGTAAAACTTATTTGGACAGTTTAAATATATGTTTGAACAGTAATTCAAATATTAATAAAAAAAATATAAAAAAATTATTTTTAGATTGATAATTTCATAAAAAAAATTCAATAAATCAAACTTTAAAATATAATATATATTATAATATATAATGCAATATAATATATATTATAACAAGATTAGCTCAAAAAATGTATAAATATTATAGAATATATTATATTATTATTATAGTATAATATCTATTATATAATATTTATAATATAATATATTATATATTATGAGAGAGAGGAAGAAGTAAAAAAAAAGAAATGAAGAAATTTGCTGCTAAGGAGACTCGAAGGACAGACCTCATTAAAGTCCAAAATTGTTCTCTTTGTTTTCAAAATTTTCAAAGAAAAATTTAAAAACAAGCTAGACTTATTTTCTATTTTTTTGACTCAAATCTCATTTTTTTTCTCAAAATTTTGAGAATAAAAATGTTAAACAAACATGTTTTGGGTGTTTTTGAAATTTTGAAAACAAAAAACAGTTTCCAAAAAGCTGACCAAACATGACCTTTTATTTTCCTTTGTTGTCCTTAATTTATACCTTAAATCCAATTTTGCCCTTCAACTCAAATGGCATACAAAGCGTTTTCAGACCCTACGAATTCTTACAAGTTAAAACAGATATTCCACCAATTAGCATTTGAAACTTACCTTCACTGTTAAGAGTGGAAAATCCAACGATCGTTCCCGGATAGTCGAAAACAGCCTTGGTTATTCCTACTTTTGTTTTCTTGGTAAAGATCTTGCTCTTACAGCAACATTTGCCTGATTCTTACGATTTCCTTGTGTTCTAGCCTTGTCAAGTCCCTCTTCAAAATGCATGTATTATTTCTATTCATATCGTGGGAGTTTGTCTTTTCCTTATTTTTTCTCTTGCAAATTGACAATGATCCATTTGGTCTATTATGGTGCAAATATCTGAGATTTGATTTGTTAAGGCTTTATCTTCCTTATGGATTTCTATTTTCTATGCACATTTTGTTTCACCACGCTCCAACGAACCCATCTTTGATTCTTTTTGAATTGGATGCATACATTCTGATTATGAATATGCACATATGATACTGTACTGAAGTTATCCATTAATTGAGTTGCAGTGAATCTGATCTATTGCCAAATGTATCGACAAGGTTTTTTGACATAATATTTTGGGTATTCTTCATTTTGCAGTCAAATTTGAGTTGGGTTTCTATCTTTATTGTTTCAAAGAGCTCAAGAGTTGATTTTTGTGGAGATTTATGGCTCACCCGCCAAACGATAGGTTTAGTCCTCGAGTTGGGAGACCTGATGGCCAAGGCTGGTAAGCAATATTTTCTTAAGCATCAACCAATAATGATAATTAATTATTACAATATTACTGTTATATTCAATTTCTCATTGTGATTTTGTGCAAATCTGGTGAACAATCTCACCATCATTGTGAGGCCTGAGACCATGGAAGCTTTGGCTGAAGTGAGCATAAAATTGCTAGAAAACTAGAGAGGAATTAATCCATGATTGGTTCACTTGATTTTTTTTTCTCTCGTGTTTAGATTTTATATCTTTATTGTAACTGTTTTATTTTTTCTTTATTGTTAAATAGTTGGATTCCTTGTCCACCAGTGTTTTACTTCTCTTCCTATTAATAAAAATTTCATATCTTATGAGAAACAAAACTTATATATTAGGTGATTAAGCAGCCCAAAATTAGATGCCCATATCTAGGCACAGTTATTTTTAGAAAGTACTTCTTCATCTGAAAAATCCATCTATGGGAAATGAAATCAGTTTTCTTAAAAACCTTTCTTGATCGTTAGTTGGTCACATGAAAGTTTAGAAGTGCCTGACTGATGATTTCTTGGCATATCATTTGAATGCAATTTGTTTTGGAACTATTTAATTACTTAAGCTCATGGGTTCTAGGTTGCTTGAGACTTTTTGCCAAACGAAATGACTGCACTAAAAGAGTGTATATCAATTTTATGCTCATTCAAAGAGACAGGAAAAAAGGGCACACTTCAATGATTTAGATATGCATTAAATTTTTATTTTATTTCTTCTTAAGACCTTTTCATGTTTTTAATTAGTGTTTATTTGTATGGACATTTAGCTCAAGTTTTGATATCTGGATTGCAAATGAAGTGATATACCATGTGTGCATGCCATACCTCCCTAAAATTCAAATTGCTACCATAATATTTTACTATTTTTATAGCTTTAAAGTTTGATTGGGATTTGTATAATCTATTAAGGACAAAGCAAATGGAGGAAAAAAAAATGTTGCAACAGATATTCCTATGTGCATAGCTTTGCAAATATCCAAGCCATAAATTTGATTTCTAAATAAAATTATTGACTGTGATAATGAATAGTAGAAATAAGTTTTCCACTTCTAAAACCATGACAACCTCATTAATTATAAATTTCAATGGTTTCTGCAACCTATGTTACTTTAAGTGGGTATTTAGAGGGAAAAAATTGCCTAAAAGTTTTACTCTATTTTAGTTAATATTTTTGGAAGCTGGGATGAAACCTTTATATTTCTAAAAATATGTACATTTTATTGTGCTTTTGAATGTTTTCGTCCTGTACATCTGAGCATAATGGGGAAAAGCAAGGTATGGAATCGAAATACTTGTAAGGTGTTCACAATTCCTTGTGTTGTGTATGTCTATTCGTATAATTGTGGGTTGGTTCAAATAATTTTATATGAGTATGAGTGCAGATTGCTTTAACAGAAAATTGGCTAATAATATATTTTTTCTTTTGTCTTGTCAGTTGAAGGATGTGAGTCATTATTTCATTTGTTAAACATCAAACACACATGATAATGGTCATCTTAATTTTTTTTCAACCAAATTAATACCTTAACAAAAGAAGGTAAAAGAGTTTTGAAGCTCTAGAAGTTTAGATTGGTCTAACGTCATTATTTTAAAGTTCATGAGTAAGCTATCGTTGAGCGAAAGTGGTAGAGGAAAAACAGAATTAGCAAACTGTCATGATTCCCTCCACGCTCCACACAACCCAAATGACTTTTAAAAACTAAGTATTGCATTCTTATAATAGCTTATGTGTTCCTTGTTCATGACATAATAGCATTGCATCCATGTATTTTTTTTTGGTTAACATTCTTAGAAGTTCCAGTATGGTCACTTAACTATAAATTGATCAAGCAATATTTTATTTTTAAAATAATATAAAAAATATAATTCGAAATAATTCACGTGCAATGCAAGTATGCATTAACTAGTTACTTTAAAATATCAGCATACTTGAAAAGTATTTTTTTTTTCATCTTTGCCCTCTAAAAGCACAATTATGTTATCCATATCCTTCAACTTTAATAACAGACTAACCCTAATCACCCCCACCACTACCTCCCAATCTCCCTCTCGATCCCTATTTTCAGCCATCTCTCTCTCATATTCACACCCCCAAATGTTTCCATATTCTCAGCCGTTACTCTCCCTATATATCTCCCTCTTCTTGTGACTCTACACATTCTTGGTTCCTGAAACTATTTGAAGCATCATCTCATAATTCCTAAAATTGTAATTGTAGGGGTGGAGGAACGATGCACAATATTCTTCACTATTTAACGACCTAGGTGGAGGAGATGAACAAATGGTGTGGGGAGGGGGGAGAGAGAGAGAGAGAGATAGGGAAGTCTTAATCGTTTCAGAATGCAAGTCTTAATCGAGAAGGTTGGGCAAGGGGGAGTTGGGGTGGGGTTAAGTTTTGGTTTGTGGTTAGGGGGCCAGGCCCACAATCACTCCCAATACTAAGTCCTAACAGATCTTTGCCAGGCAAGGCCCATGCTCACTCCAAACCCTAACAGTCGTACCCGAACAACATACACTGGTTTTGCCGTCAGCCCATGACCCAACAAATCTTTTTGGTGTATCGCAGGAATTTTTTTCTTACTCTAATTAATATTTATTAATGCTTTGTTTAGTATGATATAAAATAAAAAGTATAGAAAAGTGAAATGATTAACTTTCTTTCAAACTTATCAAAATTAATTCCTCTATAATTGAGAGGAAAGTAGATAGAGAGTTAGGTGTTGTTTGATTGGTAAACATAACGCTTAAAACTGAAGAGATTTCATGTAAAACCAATTAAGTGTGTTTAATAATGGTGTTGTTTGAGAAACTAATAATTTCAGAAAATAGATCAAACAGTTTTTAGATTAAACAATTCAACAATTTAATATATTCGACACTTAAAATTTAGTATTCAATTAATATGGGCTTAAATATATGTTATTTAGCTTTTTATCCTTGATATATATGCAAAGATCCTATTTATCTATTATATAGTATGTAAACATTAATTCATACATAAATACAATGAAAAAATAGGCATTAATTTTATATATCCTATTTATTTATTTAGAACAATTAATGCATGTTATACAAGAAAATATATTTTTTGTGTCGACGAAAGGCTGTTGCAAAAAGTATATTTGTGGTCACAAATACTTTTTACGACAGCTTTGCGGCGGCATTTAGCAGCCGTAATAGGCAGTGCCACAAAAAGTATTTGAGGTGGCATTACGCCGTCGCAAAAAAACATTAGTGACAGAAATTGCATAACATTTGTGACAGAGAATTTGCCATCACAAATGTTATGTATTTGTTGACAAAATACAATTGTGACAATAACAATGCCCCCGCAAAAAAATGTCAATTTTTTGTAATTTTTTTTATATTATCAATTTTTACCCTGTATATACAAATATATCACACAAATAAAAAAAACTTATCACAGCCAAATAATTTCACATACAATTCTATTCATATATAAATCTAAACACCAAGTAAATATATGTTCATATATATACATAAACAAATCATCAATTAGACAAAACACATTAAAAACTACCAAGTATAATATTAATTCCCCAAGTACAGATAAAAAAGATAAAATTAAAACAAAAGGTAAAATGTTGTATCCACATATGCTTATAATAAAAATGTAAAAAAAATTCCTAAGGTCTTCCATAACTCTTCTGCAAATCACCTACCATTTCCATAGTACCTAAAAAAACAAATAAAACTTTTGTTATTATAATACCACTACAACATAGAAAAAAAAAAACATAGATATATATATATTAAAGAATTAAAAGAAGTTGAATATACATCAATACATGACCAATCAACATTTCGTTGAACAACATTCCCAATTGTTTTGACTCCTTGATGAGGTCTTAACAAACATGCATTACTCTCAATTGCCTTTTCAATAAATATTTTCCAAAAAATTGATCTCAAGCCTATTCCAGTCACTTCGGCCAATGAGTCTGTATTGACAAGAATACCCTCTGCTAATATGCAATTTGAAAATTTGGAACTTAACAAACCTACTTTAGTTCCAACCTACAATAATATGCACAATACAATCAAAACAACGATCGTTATTTAAAATGTCTAATGCATGGTTATTCATAACAATTTAAAGACGTCATATGGTATACAAAATAAATATACTTGTAGACTAACTTCTTCAAGAACCTCCTTTCCTTTGTTATTTTTAGTAGTGTGCATCTGTATAACATTTTCACAACATTAAATAAGTCTTTCACTAATGGGAACTTGTGAAATGCATCGGAAAGAATGATACAACAAACATCATATAAAATGCATTCACAATTTTAATCGACCTAAATTTTGATATATAAAAAAATTTAAATTTTAATAGACTCGAAACAAATTTTAATCGGTGCTAACAAGTCAAGTACAACTCAAATTGTCTCGAATTTTAATACATAAAAAAAAAATTTAATCATCTTAAATTAAATTTTAATCAATTTGAAATTTAATATGTAAAAAAATAAATTTTAATCAACTTGAATTTTATGTATAAAGATTATTTGAGGTTTTTGTAGGTGTAATTTTAGCATTTTAGATGATTTTTTTTTGTTTGTTAGAAACCGTGGTTTAACAGCAGAGAGTGTCAGTGATGTTTAATTATAAATTAGAAAGGGTGTTCGTGATGCTTTAAATAATAAATTTTATTTTTTAAAAATATAATAAATTAAAAAGAGTGTGATTGAAATTTTCCTTTAGAATTATATCAAGGCGTTAAGAATTATAACAAGGAGGAGGAAGACACCCACTTTCGGTAGAAAAACCGACTGCAGTGGTAGCCCTCAGAGGTCGAAAACGAGAGCGTGAGGAAATTTCGTAGCAGTTGGTCCTCGGTTGCTTTCATTTTCAATCTTTGCCTCATTTTTCAAACGTAATAGTAGACTTCTTCTATGGTATTCTTCAGTCTACGCGTCAATTTGTGTATTATTAGTCTTTGGAAATGCCAACGTCTAGAAGGCACATTAATTATATTCAGTTTCAACCCACGTTACTGTTCACACCCAACAACAAAGAACACACATTGATTAAAACATCATAAAACTTTAAAGTCAATTCTGTTAATTTTTTTTTTATGAATACACATATTTAAATATATTTTACCTAATATTAATTAATTTTAATTTAATTTATTCAGTTACTTGTTTCAGATGATGTGCGGCTAATTTGACTTGTTTATTAATGGGGTCGCTTTCAAATGAGTAATATTATTTGGACAATTGAACCTAAAAATTTGATATAAGTTGCTGACATAGAGATGTGGTTTCAGTAGAACTATTGGATCAACACCAAGTTTTAATGTTTGATGGACTCTAAAGTTAATCCAAAGGTCATAGCGAATTAGGTCAATAAATTAGGTCTCAATAGCATTGCACTATAACCAAATATCTACTTGATTCCTATAATAACACAACCATGGAAAAAAAAAACTCTCTAATTTCTATACGAATTTATACAATACCCGATCAAAATTGAAAACAAAGGAAAAAATAGTGTATTTTCTTCATATAAATATTAGTTAAATGGGTTTATCCAGTGTTATTAGAATCGAATCGAAATTAGTATTATATGTTTGTGTCATTTTTAGGTTCATATAAAAAATTAGTAAATTTTAACCGATTGATTTGATTTTGTGTTCGCATCTCGTGTTGAAAATACCTACTAATCCCGCGAATAAATTTTTTTCATAAGATTATATCTAGTTCTTATTTTTTTTTTAAACTCAAATTTAAAATTAGATAAAAAAAATCCTAATAAGCTTATTTAATTCGACACCCAAATCCATACCAATTAAGGGAGACATAAAACTCGTACTCAAATAATCAATAATCAGTTTTTATTTGATTTTGTTCTCTTTTAAATTTGAGTTTATCCATCGAAATATTTTGTATCAAATTAAACTTTTTATTCAAATATTAACTTAAAGTTTGAGTAAAAATTTAAGTGAAGGTTGATAGTGCCTTTACAATAACGGTCGTGATAGGATTTGATTAAGTTTACAGTTTAAAGAAGCCGAGTCAAAGTCTCCCTAACACGTTTTGAATCAGGACTAAATAACTCATCAATTCTCTGTTTTACACCTATATAGTTCCTTTCCCATCTATCGAGTCCCCTAACACATCCCATCCCACATGTCTATATATAGTAACCATTTCTTACCCTCAGAAAACACCCAAAACCCATCAAAGTGCTTAGACTTTTCTTCCTTTTCTACACCCCCAACCCAAGAAAAAAAAAGAGCTTCGAATTTCTTTCTGAGACACCCAATTAGAACTGAGTCATGGCGAAAGGAGAGGGGAGGAGCAAAGCAAGGTGTTTTGCATATGTTGCTGCCTTTGTTGTGTTCCAGACAGCAATAATCTTGGTGTTTGCTCTAACAGTGATGCGTATCAAAAGTCCTAAAGTAAGGTTTAATGCTGTCCATGTTGAGAGCTTGGGAAGTGGCAACACAACCTCAACATCATTCAACATGAGATTAACCACACAGTTCACTGTGAAGAACACGAATTTTGGGCATTTCAAATACGATAACAGCACTCTCACAATCCTATACGATGGCATGCCGGTTGGTGATGCTGTTATTCCCAAGGGACGGGCCAAGGCTCGAAAGACACAGAAGTTTACTGTCACCATTGACATCAGTTCTGATCGGCTACCGAGCAGTGGGAACCTTGGCAATGATATGAACACGGGGGTGTTGATGCTGAGCAGCCAGGCTAAGTTGAAAGGAAAGGTGGAGTTGATGAAGGTGATGAAGAGAAAAAAGTCTGGTGAAATGAGCTGCACCATGGGCATAAATATAGGAACACGAGCTGTTCAAGATTTGAAGTGCAAGTGACAGATTTGGACCAAGTGGTTAGGCATTAGAACTTGGTTGTTTTGGTTTTCTGTAATTCCATTGCTTTATGTGAATATATGGCCAGCAGCCTATATTAGTCTCTTATTCTTTGCAGTTGGATTGAGATTTTTTTTTTTTTTTTGATGCACCATTTTGAATTCATAGTTGTAACGTAAATTTCAGACTCACACAATCACTTGTAAATCACATGTATCAATTAAACTCCAGGTTTGTGTAGAGCAGAGTTGAGTTTAAACCTTCGAAAGTTTATTAGATATGCTTGGTTAATAAAGGAATGAAATGGAATTTATTATTGCTATTTGAATTATTAAGGGGCAAAGGTAAAACTTTGTTTTATGATTAAGATTTGGAAGCCAGTCCAATCAATCTGGATGTACATTTTATATTTCCAACAAAGGGTTTTGAAACCAATCCCAGTACCATTGCTTTGACCATCAATAATAATTAAATATTAATTAAGTTGACTTAAAAAAGTAAAATAACAACTTAAATCGTTTAGATCTAATCACTTATCTTATTATTTATATTTTAATATTTTAATCACAATAATTATTTCTAGTTACATTTAATCTTTTAACAACAATAAATATTTTAACAACTTACTTATTTTTGAACCATGACAAGTAGGGATGTTAGTGGACCAAAGAGGGGGCGGGGACGGGGGGTGTAGTCTCCATCCCCGTACCCACTTAAAAAAACTTTGTCAATTCCCGTTAACGGATATAATTTTTATTTTCATCTTCGTCAATGAATAAATTTCTAATTCCATCCCCGTACTTGCTTCCCTCATACCCGCCCAAGCCATGACCATGCCTAAGCCTAACCCTGCATCCACTGATCTGAATATGATCAAACCCAACTGAAAAAAAGAATCTGGTTAAAAAATAAAAAGCACAGGAGAATCGCCCGCAAAAAAAGGTCCTTTTACAATCTTTTCCCATCCTTTATATAACCCCAAATGAACAAAGAAATCTATGCATTTACGGTCTACTTAAAAATACATTTAGAACGATTACTGAAGAAAAAAAATTGACTGGAAAAATGCAAGCTGAGCTCCATATTGCTTGAAAAGAAAACAATAAATGACGATATGCAGCAAAAGAAACAAACCCACTGAAGAAGTTCTGAGTATACTAGAAACAATAAAATAAAAATATTTGTAACTATAAGATAAATACTGCAACTACAGGACAGCTAAGAGATAAGAATCAAGCTGCAAATTTAACTTTAGCAAAGATCAAGACAATAGATTTGTCTTGTTGCTTACAAAACGAACAAATATATATATATATATATATATATATATTTAATGGGTAGGCGGGGCGGGGATAAGGGTAAGTCCATTTTTATTTTTATTTTTGTATGAATTTATACGGATATCCCTGTATACGTTTATCGTCTAATACGTATAGTCTATTCCCGATCAAAACGAAACAAATTTGAACGAATATCAGCCCGCTTTTTCCCGGTCCACTACCATTTGGACAAGCATTTTAATCACTCACTTACATTTCAACCACACACAAAAAACAAAAATGTTTTGCATGGGTTCACTATCTCATGCCCATACAATTAGCAGCGTACTTATCCAAAATCATTAGCTATAGAATTGCTAGCAAATTTGACGTGAGAGAGAGAGTTGCGGTGTCAACTTTGACTCGTTGATACGAACTCAACACGAACGATTATAAAATTGATACGATTATTAAATATGCATTATAAAAAGTCTACACTAATGTTTAATATTTAGAGCACACTAAATAAATTATTATTTTTTTGTGAGTTTTGGCACGAACACAACATAAATAACACGACATTCGAGTCACATGAACACAACACGATAGACACCCTCTGCCATGGCATCCACCAAACATGTGCATGGTTGGTAACATTATTTCATGTTCGCATAAGTGCAGCCAAGTCCAAACATCTACAAGGAAGATTTGAAGTGGTCTTATATGTACCAAGCTTTAAATGATTAAATTAAATTAAATATTTTATCAATACAATATTGAAAAAATATGAGACCTATTATTTTTGAAATTTTGCTCTTCCTTTTTACCATTCCACCACCACTACTGATGCAACATGTGATAGATCAGAATCCTCAAAAACAGTATTGATTGGAAGTCAATCAAGTCTAATTTTTTTTGACAGAATTAAAAAATTACAACAAATCCCATTCCCTAAAACTTTCAACGATATGGGCAAGTTTGAAGTCTTTTGCTTTCATTCCAGTCTTTTTTAAGCCAAAATAGGGTGGTTTATAGGCATTTTTCTCTTTTTACCCCTTTGTTCGGGGTATTTTTGTAATATTGCATATTTATTTGATTTTTCTATTAATTTAGAAATTTTAGGATTTGTTATTTATATTGTGATGAAAACATATTTAGCCGCTTTTGAATAGTTTAAATAAAATTTAGTGATAGTTCTTTTTCAATTTCAATTGTCTTGGTATTTTTAAAAATTAACAAAACACTTGAACGTTGTAATATAATATTATTGTGATAATTAATAAATTATAATTTCAGTTATTTGGTCCAAATTTTCTCTTCCCTACATCCACTTAGCTTAGACTAACCCCAACCACCACCAGTACTATTTTTACAATCGTGGCCGATATCATCCCCACACACAGCAACATCGTTCTTGCCATCATCTCCTCTACTAACTAACGACACCACCATTGCTTCCACCGTCACCCATTCTAATTAATTCCATTGCGGATGCTGGCCACCGCCACCACTAGCATCTACTTCATAACCCTATCGTCGCAACCACCACGTCTTTACCACCACTATCACCCCCACCCCGTCATCGAGTTTCACATCAAATTAATCTAATTATTATTATTCGTATTTTGAATTTGTGTCAACAATTAGTCAATTTTAACTCATAATTGTTATGTTTAGCTTAGTATTCGTTAATTTTTCATACAAAAATAGCTAATGGACCCAATATCAAGGAACAAACTCTGTTGTTAATGAACCAACTACAAAATTTTCATAGACTTGGCTCTGTTGCAAGCGTTCCAGTGAATACTCGTTGTGGTTAAAAGTTTCAAACATAAGCCGAAATTTAAGCCTTAAATCCTGCCTTAATATAAATAGCTTATTACTTTTTTTTTGGAAGTGAAAAAGGGAGGACCGATGAGTAGGTAGTAATTTCTTCTGGACGTGACCATCAGAGTTTCTACTATGAAATATTCAGTTAAAGACATAGCTACTATTTCAGGAGGGTAGTCCATCATCATAACACTATCAAAGCCAAGCACCAAGTTGCATTACTCTCGTGGATCGGATTCTATTTGATAACCACCTAAGATTGAGGGATGACCCTAAGGGTGTGATTGTTTGGAGGATTAGTATTTATGGGATTGACTAATATATTTCATATACTTTTAATACGGATGGAAGGAAATACCGGGCATAAAAATTAAGGCAATCTCATCTAATATTTATTTGAGCAATATGTTTTATTGTGTGACCTACCAAAAAATATCTATTATGTCACATCTCTTAATTACTAATAGATCTATTTACCCTTAATACCATCATTCCATTCTCGTGAGAGAGTTATAATCGTAAATTTGAGCCTTATACTGTCGATTGACCAAATCTATCCAATTAACTAAAGTCATTTACATGGGGTTAATGGTACTGCAGTTATCGGACCAGAATTGAGATCTAAAAATTACTACAACACACAAAAACACAAACAAACAAAGATTTAATAGGCCCCCACATAGTATTTCACCAAATCTCACCCCCTTATACTATTATTCTACTGCAAACAAACACCCTAAATGAGTGTAACTTATTACTAGACCACCAGCTCGATGGTAATAATTTATTACGTTACTGCGCAAGTTTTGGTTAGATGTCTGCAGTCAGCTCCCATGACCATGTTCCCCCCCTTCCAAGCAATTGTCCGGATCATCCCCAATCTTGACCTAACTGGTTGAAACTTAAAATAGAAGATTGAGATTCTTTCTTTTACCCCAATAACTTCGAGATATTCTCAAACAAGCATAATTATTTTGCACCTCATTTGATTTTGGTTGGAACTCATGTGAGAATCCCATATCGAATAGGAAAAAAATTTAAAAAATCCTAATATTTTTTGAATAAGTTTATTAATGACCAAATCAAATAGAAAACAAATTAGAAGATTCCTAATATACTATGAATAGGTATATTATAATAAGAAATATAGAAATCAAGTTGTATCTGAATATGTTTGGGTAACATTATGTTACCCCTATAAATAAGTCTAAGTTTTATATAATCAATTATTAAATGATCTATTTTTCCGTGAATCATATATTGATGCAACTATTCCGTTCGTAGACATACGTATGATGTGTATGACAAAGGTACGCTTTATTAGATTATGTTATTTTTTATGTGTTTTATTTTATTATTTTTTATTTTAAATTCTTATCTTTCTATAAGTTCTATTGGTGTTAATTTTTTGACGTGCAAAACCAATACCGTCCTCTCTTTTTCCTTGTACGGAACGTTCAGAGGGGTTTCAAAAAACTGAAACGAACGTTGTTGACAAAGTAGTAGTACAAGATGAAAGACAGTTGTAATTAACTCTTCTCTGGCCAATCTAAAAGGCTCAAATTAATGTTGAAGCTTTACTTTGATTTTTTTGAAAACTTGGCAGGTTTTAACTCTTCAATCTGGTCATATATATATATATATATATATATATATATATGTCCACTTGCACCAAATTAAAAATCATTGGAAACTTAATTTGTCATCATTTAGACCAATCAGACGAGGAAGCAACTCTGACGGGTGTTAGAAAATGGAGTAAACTTAAGAAAAGAAGAGTGCATGGGTCTACAAGTCTATTCCTCGTAACAGTGCGGTGGAAGCATCTATCTACATATCGACATATTTATTAAATTAATATAATCCATTTGTATTTGTCAGAAAATAATCACCACGAAACCTTTAACAGTACGT